CTGGGAGCCAAACGCCCCTTCTGGGCACGGGGACAAGGGGGGGTCTGTCTCGCTGGCCAGTGCAAGCCGGAGCCCTGCGAGAATTTCCCTGCGGTGGGGGGAGTCTCTGATGTCCCACACGACGTGAGCGCCCCCGGGAAAATTTCCCACGCTACGAACAGCTCCAAGGTTCCTTCCCCGGGGGGGCCGGGTGCTCCGGGCGCAGCGCAGGGAGCTCCCCGGGGCCCCAGCTCTGGCCGCTGGGTACACCGTCTCCTGCAGCCCGGCTGCTCCTAGGGTCTCGCGCGCGTGTGGATTCTCCCGTGATTGGCAAGGGACGAGCTCTTCTTGAAGCTTTTCCCGCACTCCCGGCATTGATAGGATCGCTCGCTTGCGGGCTCCCCCACGTTTAACAAGGTCTGAGCGCGGATGGAAAGCTTTTCCGCAGCCCAGACATTGATGGGTTTTCTCTCGTGCGTTTTCTCGTGCGCGCGAAGTTTGGATTTCACCCGGAACGCTTTCCCGCACCCCGCGCATGCGTGCGGCTTCTCCCCCGTGTGGATTCTCTCGTGCTCACGAAGTTTGGATTTCACCCGGAAACCTTTCCCGCAGCCCGTGCATGCGTACGGCCTCTCCCCGGTGTGGATCCTCTCGTGCGCGCTGAGTTTGGACTTCACCCGGAACGCTTTCCCGCAATCCACGCACTCATGTGGTTTCTCCCCGGTGTGGATTTTCTGGTGGTTGGTCAGGACTGATCTCGCGATGAAGCTCTTCCCACACTCCAGGCATTGATACGGCCTCTCCCCCGTGTGGGTGCGCTGATGCTGAAAAAGCACCGACCTTTGACTAAAACCTTTCCCGCACTCCTGGCATTTATAGGGCCTCTCTCCCGTGTGGGTTCGCTGGTGTACGTTGAGTGCCGCCGTCTGTCGAAAGCTTTTCCCGCACTCCGGGCATTCGTAAGGTCTCTCCCCCGTGTGGGTTCGCTGGTGCGTAAAAAAGGCGGAGCTCTTGCTGAAACTTTTCCCGCACTCTTGGCACTTGTAGGGTACCTCCCCCGTGTGGCTTCGCTGGTGGGCGATCAGCCGGACTCGGTGTGTGAAGCTCTTCCCGCACTCAAGGCATTTAAAACACCCCTCGGTCGTGTGGGTTTGCTGGTGCGTGAAAAGGGCGGAACTATTGCTAAATCTTTTCTCGCACTGCTCGCATTGATAGGGCCTCTCCCCGGTGTGGGTCCGCTGGTGCACGATCAGCTTGGCTCTCTGGATAAAACCTTTCCCGCACTCCTGGCACTGGTACGGCCTCTCTCCGGTGTGAATGAGCTGGTGCGTAAAAAGGGTGGAGCTCTTCCCAAAACCCTTCCCGCACTCCGGGCACTTATAGGGTCTCTCGTCTCCGTGCGTTTCCTGGTGTGCAAGAAGTGCTGAGCGCGCGTGAAAACGGTTCCCGCACTCCAGGCATTGATACGGCCTCTCCCCTGGGTGATATTTCTCTTCGCCGGGACTCGTCTGTGGGACGGGGGACGTCTGGCGTCCTTGTTGAGTGGATACATCCGGTTTCTTCTCCGGAGAGTTTCCCGCCTGCCTCTCTGCCCCGTGTCGCTCTCCCCAGGCATTTCCCTCTTCCAAGGACAGAGGAAAACTCCCTCCGGCTCCTCCCAAAAATATCTCCTGCGGTTCCACTTTCCAAGGACCTTCCGGCTGCTCATTCTCCTCCTTGATCCAATTCCCTGCCCCACTGCCTGCTGGGAGAGACAGAACCCAGAGGAGAGTCACGGCCCAGACAGGGCAGAACGACCTGAGAAGGGAGCAGCAAAGGGAGAAAACTCCCCACGGTATCTGCTGGGGAGACTTTGGGTTCTGCCACCGCACCCCACCCAAACACTCCACCAAGGAGGAAATTCCACACAGCGAACGGGATGGGGAGGAGGCAGGGCTGAGATTTCCGGGGGCCGCCCTGGCCTGGGCGAGACGGGGCAGAACCGAGGGGCCCTTGTTCCTCACACGTTTTGGGGAGTCCCGGCTTTTCCCACCACTTGCCTGATTATCTCCCTCTGTTTCCGCGGCTCCTCACCTGGGCAGGCGTCTCTCAGGGCCTCCCTTCCCGCGTCGGCCTGGAGATCCGGCACCCACGGCTCCTCCCCTCGCTCCAGCTGGATGATCAGCTCGGGTTTGGGGGCGGGGAACCCTGCGCAGGGGGTGAAACCGGGCCAAGTCAGGGTGCATGGGGAGAGTCACAGGGAATGTTCCCCGGGGGAGCAGCAGACCCTGGGGCAGGGAGTTTTCCCGCCCTCCCCGGGAGATCTCAAGGCAGATGGACACCGGGGGACTTGCTGACAGACTCCCAGCTCGGGTGCTGAACTCCTGCCCGGTTCCAGCCGGCCGAGCCCCCCCAAGGACAGAGCGAGCCCCAGGAAGGGAGCTGAGGGCAGCTCAGGGCCGATCA